TTATGTAGTGAACATTAATAAATTATTTATTAACTATGGAAATAGAGAACTCATAATAAAGTTTAGGCAGATTCCAGACAGCTTTTGCAAAATCTTTTTTAACTTGGCTACTCTATTACATTAAGATTAGCAAGCCAAAAAATCAGTATGGAGATGGAAAGATCTTTCTTAAGGGAAGAATTCCAGAGTAGCTGAACAGTTTTATTCTTTTTTGGATACCATGATTCATACCTCTAAGTCTTTAACACTTCAGGACGAATTTGCTTTTGGCATTGGAGATGTTATTTCAGTGAACATAAATCAGATACATTAAAGGTGGATGTTGTTTGTCATGTATATTGTGATACTTTGAAGGTGAATTGAAGGTGAAAGGGACTTCCACTAGTAATCAGACTAGGATGATAATGAACAGCAAAAATATGTTGGGGAAAGACAATACATGGTCATCCTACTAAAAGTTATTGACTTTTTTTAGACCTGTGGTTTTTTAAACTGCTTCCATGTTAGAAGTGCTAGAGAATCTTTCTTTTTTTTTTTTTTTTTTTTAATAAAGAATCTAGGTCTCCCCTTTCAGCCCCATTCAGAGATTTTGTTTGAGTGGTGTGGAAGTAAGATCTAGGAATACCACTTCTAAAAACTTTCTTTTAGTGATTCTAACATATAAATAGGTTTGAAAACCATGACACTCACTTTGATTGTAACTGTTCAGGTTTAATATACATTTATGAAAACTTGAGATTGAAAAGGATAAGATATTTTCTCCCATTAGTGAGATGTATGATTTTTGGATGAATAATTGTCTGATGTTTATTTGCTTCATCCTTAAAAAAGAGGGTCTTAGTCTAAAATAACTCTAAAATCGATTGCAATCTGATTTCAGAAATCCTTTTGAAGAATTCTTCTTTGAAGCAATTGAAAGCTCTTAAAATAAAAATCTATTTCCTCTAGTCTTAGATCATGTCAGAACACTACTTGGAGGAAGGATAGATCAGGTTTATTTTCTGATAGTGAAGATTGTATAAATTAAGTGGTAGAACTTAAACATATATTAATTCCAGAGCTGATTGAGAGTACATAGGTGTTTTTGTGCCAGCTGGGAGATGAGAAACCTGCAACCCTCAGAGAGATTATGAAATCTTTGCAGTCTAACCTGATACTACATCCAATAATCTAAACATTGAAAGACTCTTCACAGACAGAGTTTTTATTGTTGTTGATAATGGGGTGGCACTGCACCAGGTATGTCTTTCTGCTCTAATGCAGTTTATTCTTCTGTCCACAATTGAAAACAGAGATGTATGTGTCTAAAATAATGGACCTAGTATGAGTTATGAAATGTGCTTTATTAAGTCATTTTAAGATGCAGTTTATTATTCCCTTAAGAACAAGCTCCTTTAAGTTCTTGACACTAGTGCTGAATTACTTTAAGAAATGTAACTCAGTAAAAATCCTCTCGTTTTTTTTTGTGTGCTCCTCTTGCGCTTTGCTGGGTTCATACAGCAGGTAGGGTGAGCAGGGCTCCCTGGCTTCTACGTCACTTCCTCAAGCTCACCAACTAGCAATCTTTCCTCCTTTTCTTTCACAGAGAAGCTTTTAATTAACCAAGACAAGAAGGACCACCGCTCCACTTAGTGTTTGAACCTTGAGTTAATCATGAAAGGGCCTGTTTGTCCAAAGTCTGCTTTAGTTCTACTAGGGCTTCAGCAAACCTTAGAAATTTATAACTTCCCAAATTTTTCTTGTGTATTTCCATCTTATCCCTTAAGACTTCAGTTTCTTTTTGGTCTGAGTCTCAACTGAAAATTAAAACTCCCTCTCCTGAAAAAGTGTCATTAAAAGTTATGAGGAAAAGAATGAGATTTAACTAATTCACAGTACTACATGAATAAAATAGAAAATTGAAATATACACATGCTATTTAACTACCATGATACTTTTCTTTCCTTTTTCTGCATGATCTCTAAAAATAGCCTGCTACTTTTAAAAAGTACTTCTTTTTAAAAATATTTTTTATTTCAAAGAGAATAAAACCAAACAAAACAAAACCAATCAAAACAAACCAGTGCAAGTGACACAGGACTTCAAAACAATATGAAATCAACAATGGTTAGTATAATGCCTCTTGTCTTCAAAATAGCTGCTGATACCTTCAGACAGTAAAAAACAAACAAAACAACAGAGTTGAATTCATAAAATCAAAACAATGAATGCAACAAAGGACCTCAAAACAAGCTAATAGTAAATCCAAAATGCTCCCATCATAGATCTTGCTGTCTTTGACCCAGCTGCCTTGCCTTTGGATACAATACAATCAAACAAAACAAAACAGAATAAAACCCAACCCAACAAAACAATGAAAATGATACAGGACTTCAAAACAAGATAATAGGGAATTAACAATGGTTACCATCCTCTGAAGGAGATCTGCCTAGATGCTGCACTGCATATCATGATCCTCTGAATTGATGGCCAGACCACTGGCCCTAGATCTGCAAAGTCAACGAAACAGCAAACACCATAAGCATCAGATGGCATTTCACCTCAATAGCTATCATGGCAGCCTGTGTTTCTCTGGATCAGCAGGTTGCTTATGGGGAGGGAGTGAGGGGGTGGTTGGCTCTTGGGGTTTCCCAGCCCATGTGCCAGATATGGTGTCTTTTGGTTTATGAGCATTTCTTAAAATAAGTTGAGTTTATTTTTTGGGTAGTTGGAATACATTTACCCATAAGTAATGTAAACAATGGCTAGCTTTTTAATCACTACATAAAATTCTGCATTTAACTATTGTCATAATGTAAAAACAGAGCAGTATTTACAACTACTGCATAGGTGAGTAATTAGACGTTAGGCAGGGAAGCAAGTCAACCAGTGGAGGAATTGAAGGTGATACTTGTATGCTAGGAACATTTTCCTCTTTCCTTGGGCAAAACACTGCCTCAGTGGAACTACGGCAAAATGCGCATTGTCTTTTGTGTCTGACTTGCTGATTTCTTTTCAACTTGTCCAAGACTTCTCTCCAGTTCCTGGCTACCCTCACATGTAAAGCCTCTGACCTTGTTTTACTGATGAAAACCTCCTTCCTTCAATATTATCTATTTCTTCCCTACCTGGATCCTTCAGACCTTTTGAATAAAATCTGCCTTTTCTGAGATTTTGTCTAATCAAACTTTTTCTAAGAAAATAATTTGACTTAAATATAAGACTCCAATGTGGTTTTTGGTTTTTTTTTGGTCTTTTTCCTTTTTTATCGGTACCAGGGATCGAACTTGCGACTGCCTGCTTGCAAGGCAGGCGCTTATGCTGCTGAGCTAAATCCCCAGCCCTGATGCCAATGTGTTTTAAAAATTGTGTTTTAAAAAGCAGTTATGTGGCAAGACAAAGATGCAAACAATAGTAACCATTTAAATTAGTTGATTAATGCAGAATGAAAGGATGCATTTTCATCAGGGGATAATCTCCTGCATATCAGTTTTCAGAGCCACCCCTCATTTTGTAGCTTCTCCTTTGTCCTTTCAAACAATAAGAAGATTATGGACATAGATCATTTATCTGAAAGTTGAAACATCTATAATAGAATTGGATTGAATGTATTTAACATTTATTCATTATTTTTTGCATGTGTACTAATGCAAAGACTTGCTATTATAATAAAACACTGGAATTGCATGGTATTCCAAGAGGCTGAGAATGGTGCAGTAGGTACTACAATCCTTGAGACATGGATGTGATCAGGCTAATATTCATAGTTAGACAAAAAACGAAAACAAAACAAAACTAAGAGCTTATTTTAAGAAATAAAAGTGATTTACATTGACCAGGAGAAATCCCAGTTCCAGAGGCCCCAACACAGACTTTCTAAGCAAGGGCAAGGAAAAGTCAATGACTGTTACTGAAAGGTCTTTCCAAGCCCTGTTAAGTCTTCGTTATACGTAGAGGAGTCTTCTGCAGCCACTACATCTGTGTGCCTGTAACGTGTGATTCTCACACACTGTACATGTGCATCCACACAGACATTCACTCAAGTATGTATTCATAGAGTTTCAGTGACTGTGAGATTTTTTTATGTGCCATTTTGTTTAGGTGACTGGTCATTGCAAATTCCTACTTTTAGTTGTAAGAAATAATAAAGTGCATTTGTTATAATTTTGTGAGTAAATGTTGGGCTTTTTTTTTTTCAAATGTAAAGGTGAGTGATTTAAGAATTCTATAACTCCCAGACCATTTCTACTCTCCTACTCAACCCTTTTCCATCACCATCTTCAGAAAGGGGCAGAGTGACAAGACCCAGTAAAGGCTTTGAATCTCAGGATACGAAAGGATTGGGAGAGAGAAGCAGACAGTTCCAGAATGGGGATCAAAGAGAAAGTTACTTATTTATTCATTTATCTTTTATCTGCTCTTTCCTTAGTTTTGGCAAATGAAGGGCTCTAGTGTATGTGCAATTTGAGAACACTGGAGAGGGAAGAGGAGAACAGGCATTTGGGGAAAACTCTGGTGGGTGTAGAAATGGATCCCTTTTGTTATTATTACTAAGAAATGGAATTCCATTTAACGTGTTATGCTTTTTCACATGATATGTGCAGTGTGGAGCGAAATCTCCTAAATCATAACCCAACCCTGGGATTTATACGTTTTTCAACTAATAACATGGAATAAATGCATCAGATAAAATTCAGAGACATAAGTGCCTTGGGTGCTCACTTATGTCTCACCTTAATAGGGCTCCATTTAAAGCCATAAAATATCTTTTCCTCCGCTAATTTACTTTTTGGTGAAAACTTTAAAATTTTTGAGAATGTACAAATTATATAATTTGAAATTTCATGAATATAGCATTTCATTAGAAAAATAATAGAACCACAGTATAGAAAATTTGGAAAAGAATAACAAGAAAGCTATCACTTGTGATAGTATTACCAGAATGCAAACTTCTTCAAATGAATACAGTGCCATTTTGGCTATTTGCTCCCCATTTTTTTCTTCCAGAAAAATCTAGTTATGATTATACCAAGATCTTTATTTTAGGTTAAAGCATTAGGGTCTCACAATTACCCCAATGTAGTGGCTCTCAGGGCATTTGGATCTGAGCGGTCTGAGCTTTGGTAACCAATTTGTCCACTGCAGGAGTTTACACATCAGGGTCTCTGTCAAGTAGGAACATGTTGAGATTTGTTAGATTCTAAAACTTTGGAAACAAACTCTAAATTTATGCTTAGGAAATACAATTAAAATAATGAGCAAAAATTTTAAATGAAATATCATTATAATGATCAGATTTAACACTATACTTGTATCGCCCCCCCCCCCATATTCTTATCAGTACAGCATTATTTGTTCAGTGATCTCTGTAGAGGTCAATAGGCAAAGATAGCTGAGAAGGTAAAGAAACCAATTTTAGCCTTTCTGGGAAAAGATTTCAGTTGTAACAAGGAACTAGAATTGAATTAGATAATCACTAAGGCTCTGATGATATATTCTGTTGACTTGAGAACATGGAGTTTCCTTCACTTAGCCTAGAGTTATTTTTGGACAGAAGTGCATTTTGTGTTCTTAAAATATGTATGACAGCAGTTTTCTAACAGTTTTTCTTACATATTGCTAAAATAGTTTTGTAAGCCTACATATCCTATTGCACATCTAAATGGACATTTAAAACTTCTCATCACTAAAGAATTATAAAGAATTGTGAAGTAATTTTCTGTATAATATTCTGTATACCTGTTATCTTTCTACAAATACATTCAATATAAACTAAAAACTGTGACAATGTGTCCCTAACTATTCCATTTAAAACTAGGTTATTAAAATTTACAAAGTAGAAGTTTCACTTACAGTTTTCATTGTATTTTTATCTCCACTGTAACTCCCCTGAATTATATTCTAATTGATTTGAATGTTTTAAAAATCCTTTCTTTACTAATTATCATATTACTATGTAATAAAATATATATACTTTTTTAAGAACTAATTTTTAAAAATGTTTATGTTTATAAGGTATAACTATTCAAACATTTCTTTTGGATTGAGTTTTAATTACAGTTATTAGTATAAAATTAAACTAGATAGTATAAATATAAATTTTGACAGATAGTATAAATATAAATTATTCAGCAAATGCATTTCTTTGGGGGAATAGATGCATATTTTCTACCTATTAGCTTATATATAGATGAATATTATTGATATACAAGATTGAACATCAATTCTGCTCTATCCTTGTCCTTACAGTTCAAAAGATTATGTTTACTCTAGAAGGTAGGTGGAAATGGAAATTTTGTTATGGTAATATCACTCTGTTCTTTGAATTCTTGAGTTATATGCATGTGTCCTAATGCAAAGACTTGCTATTGTAATAAAACACTGAAATTGTGTGCATACACAATTTTTTTGACAATTAATTTGAGTCAACTTGGCTAGGTTGTAGTGTCTAGTTATTTGGTTAAATCCTAATGTAAATGTTGCTGTGAAGGTATTTATGAAGATGATTAACAATTATTACCACTGATTTTGAGATTAATTTCCATAGTGAAGTTGAGCCTCAATCAGGTGAGGGCCTTATACCAAAGATAGGTTTCCTGAAGAAACATTCCTTTGTCAAGACTATAGTGTAGCAACCTTGATAATGTTTCAGCTTGCTGACTTATTCTAGAGATTTTGCACTCAAGATAGAAATATCATCTCTTACCTGAATTTGTAGCTTGTTAGCCTCATGTTTTAATTTTTTATTTACTTGTTTCAGGGAGAGAAAAGTCAGCATCTCCTGAGAATCGGCCGTGCTGGGACCTGGGGGACCAACTCAAGCAAACAACTAGCCAGCCTTCCTGGTGAGTTGCACACCCTGCATGGGTTCCTGGGAGATAAAAGTCAGACAGCACATCCCATGAGCCTACTGGGCTGAGACTCAACCCAACCTTAGCCAAGTAACCAGATGGTTTAGAGAACAGGCTGAGTTGATAGCAGCTAAAGTACATTAGCAACTAAATGCTTGTATTGTTTGGTTGATTATTCAGGCCTAGGGCCAAAGGTCTGAGCATCGCTCGGGAGGATGACAGTATGAAATACAGCAAATATGAGGATTTCTATCTTGTCTTTGAAGTCCAATATTGTTTTCACTGTTTTGCTTTGTTCAATATTCTATTGTGACAGATTTTACTGTGTTTTGTTTTTGGTTTGATTTTGCTATACCTGATTGAATAAGCAACTATTGTGAAGATAATAAGATATACTATGGTAGCTATTGTTGTTTTCCTTGTATCCTGCTCTGAAGTTCTGTATCAATTTTGCTGCATTGTTTTAATTGGTTTTGTTTTGTTGGATTCTACTATCTTTAAAATAAAAAGATAAACTTTTATTTATCTTATTTTAAAGAGAAAAAAGAAAAGCCCAAAAAATCAAGAAGCAAACAAATCTAAAAACAAAAAAAAAAAAGCAAGATGGCAGCAACAACAAAAACAGTAATTCTATAGGTTTTCAAAATAAGATGATTGGAATGTAACAATGGTTATTGTGCTGCATATTGTTATCTTCAAAATAGTGGCTTAGATTACCAGATATGGAAATAAAGCAAGATAATAACATGGAACAAAAAAAGGTATTCTCCACAGTTGCCACAATGTGCACACTGCCATCCTCCAAATAGATGCCCAGACCACCAGCCCCAGGCCTGCAGTCAATCAAACAATACAAACTTCAAGCTCTTCCTTTCACTTCAGTTGCTATCATCTTACCCTGGGTTCCTCTGGATCAGCCAGTTGCTCACGGGTGAGCAGGGGGATGCTCTTCTGGTTTCTCGGCCTGTGCATTGGCTGGCACATAGGTGTGGTTTGTCTTTTTACTGAGTCTCTTATCATTCCCTATGGTGGACCCTGGCTCACAAGAATGTGTGGCCCATCTTCTTGTTAGCCTCATTGTAGTGTCTACATACACATTAATCTTTATGTTTATTTCTATCTTGTTCTCACTCTAGTATCTATTGGTTCCTTTTTTTTTTTTTTTTTTTTTTTTTTTTTTGTCTTTTTGAGACAAGTTCTCGCTAAGCAGTCCAGGATAGGCTCAAGCTCACTTTGTAACCCAGGCTGGTCTTGAATTTACATCAATCTCCTGCCTCAGCCTTCTGAGACGGGGATTACAAGCATGTGCCAATGCCCAGCTTGGTTCCGTTTTTTAGGGAAACACTAAAGCAACCTGTGATGATTAATTTTGATTGTCAACTTGATTGGCTTGAGAGATGCCAAGGAGATTAGTAAAACACATGTTGTGACGTTGGGGAATATATCTGGTCCCTGGCCGCTTCTTGTCTGGTTCTTCTGCTTTCTATTTCTAGATGTCATAATCTGAGCAACTGTCCTCCACCAGATCCTTCTCCCATGATATTTTTTACTTTACTGGCAGCTGATCATGGACTGCAGCCTCTGAAACTGTGAGCCAAAATAATGTTTCCTCAATTTTTACATCTCAAGTGTTTTCTCCCAGTAGTAGAAAGTGGGTTAATATGCAATTATCCTATCAAGAGTATTTTTAATGATGTATCATTGACAATTGAACTATTAAAATTTTTCAGGACAAGAGATTGAGTACTCTGATTGCAATAAAACTATTTGATACTTAATCTTAACATTCTCAACAACTATACTAAAATTTCAAATCATGTCTTTGATACTTTGGAGTTTTTTTTTTTTTTTACATATTTCAAGCCATTTTCTTTCTTTTTTGAAGAGGAAGTGGGAAGTTGTGCAAGGAAACTGTCTCAGATGGATTTATCTCCTTAAAGCCATCTTTGTCGCAAAACCCCAGTGAGAGTGATAGATAACCTTGGGATTATATCTCAGTTTGAAAACTGCTGGTGTGCCTTATCTTGCTATCTACATGCTTAAACACACTTTTGTTGTTATTTATTAGGAATTGTATTTTGACTATGATAAGAATAAAATGCACTAAATGATATACTCAGAAATAAAGAAAAATATCAATGAGGATCACATATCTATATACTATGATATTTTAATGAGATTAAAATATTATGTTATTGATATTCAGCTAAAGAAATGTCAACAAAACTCGAATACTTGGACTTATAACCTGAAAGGGTTGTTGGCCCAGATGGGACACTGTAGCCAGAAAAGACCTCAGCCAGAATCAGAGAGCTCCTGTCTCCCCCGCCCCTAGAGATTTACCTGTAACCCTATATCCCCCCACCATTTAGAATCTGCCCCTGGTGCCAAATGTGTGCCAATGAAATACCTGTGCATCTCTAATGGCCTTAGGGCACTGCCCTAAGCTTAGGCTACTTATATTCCCCTAGCCACTTGTCCTTGAGAGAGATCCCCAGACTTCAGTGGCCGGCGTGCCAGTCATCTCTCTCCGTGTTCTCAGAATAAAGGCCTCTTTTGTTTTATACTTCTCATCTTTTGGAAATATTTTTCATCTTTTGGAACCATTTACAATGTAAGAACACACATGTCGGTGTCGCTCCCGGCCGGCAGGAAGAACACGCGACAGTATCGGCGGTGGTCAGGCTTTCTTTATTCTCCTTCTCCGCACAGTCTGCCCCGGGATTCTTCCCGGCCGAAGCCTCTACCGGTCCGCTCTCCGCGGCTCCTTCCGTGCTTCTCCTCTACAGTCTGTCCCGAAGCCTCTACCGGTCCGCTCTCCGCGGCTCCTTCCATGCTTCTTCTCTACAGTCTGTCCCAAAGCCTCTACCGGTCCGCTCTCCGCGGCTCCTTCCGTGCTTCTTCTCTACAGTCTGTCCCGAAGCCTCTACCGGTCCGCTCTCCGTGGCTCCTTCCGTGCTTCTTCTCTCGTGGCGGGAGAGGCACTCACTTTTATAGGGTTACAGTGGCCAATCAGTTCAAAGCGCGCGATGCGGGCTGATTGGTTAACATCAGTTGTTGCTAGGCAGACTATCTTACAGAGTGGGTTGTTTACCAAGCAGGAAGCAGGAGATAAGCGCCATCTTAGCACACTCGATGGGAGGGGTAATCTAGCTCAGGCTTTGCTCTTTCTTACAGGCCTCACGTCCGCCAAGTAAGGCGACCGGGCTCGGCCGCGGCTCCCAACACACACATTTACATATTTTTAGTTGATGGTTATTTATTTTGTTACTAGGAGAATTCACTAAACTGTGATTTGGAATTTTTGACCTGATACAGTATCTAACACTCTGCTTTAGCTCTTATAATGCTGAAAAAGATTAAAAATATTTTATGTCACCTAATCCAATTTCTTTTGATTCTCAAAGTACCTTCCAAACAGTATAGTATTTGAAACATGATGGGGACTTCATTTTTTGTTCGATTGACTGAACATACTTGAGATGTTTAGTACCCCAAAATTATAGCTCTCAGGATTTAAAGAGAAGCAATAACTTTTATGAAAATAAATATTTTTATTGATGGACAGGGAAGATGATAGAACATGCTGACACACAGGTTTAATCAAAGAGCCTACTAATAGCATAAGATAGACACACCACCTGCAAGCAGTTCTATTTTGTTACATAATCAATTCTACCAACATTGTAGACTTTTGTCATTAATAAAACATAATCTTAGTTAACTTGCAAGAATACAATTTAAGAGCCCTGTGTGAATTCATATGTGTAAGTTCAATAACTCTTAGTCATCGGTACAGTAGTTATTACCCCTTTACTTGCTTTGTTCTTTCCTTTTTTTTTTTTTTTTTTTTGTCTTTTTCCTTTTATTGTACTGGGGGATCGAACTCATGACTGCCTGCTTGCAAGGCAGGCGCTTATGCCACTGAGCTAAATCCCCAGCCCCTTGCTTTGTTCTTTCTATAGGCAGTACGATAGCTAACAGATTGTGTCAGCTTGATTAAGAAATGACCAAATAAATCGCTTCATCATAATTTTGGGGGTGGCTGAAGGGATTTACTGAAGACAGAAGACCACTCCGGATGTGAGTGACACCGATTACTAGGCTTGTTACATGAATGTAGTAAAAGGTAAATACAGGAAGGCTTGCTGCTGTCTCTTTGGAGGGGAGCCAGTGCTCACCACACCTTGGATGCTGTCCCTTAGCTTCCAGCATAGCCCCTTCAACCTCTTAATATAGATTTTCACGGGGTGCTACAAGCCTTAACTGGATCCTTTGGCTCTCCAGGGCCCTGACAGACCTCTTGACTTTTTATACCTGACTCTGTGGGCAGTTATTGTAAACCAATTTCATGATTTTTTATTTATTTGTGTATCTTGCATTAAATGTATTTCTCTTGTAAGCACTGACAGAGAGAGGCAGAATATTGTCTTCATTACAAAATTCCATGACTATGTTCGATGAATGGACCAGCTCAGTTCCTGTTTGAGGCAGCATCTGTATTTCTTTTATTCTTTAAGAATTGAAATTTCTTTGGTAATAGGGTTGTAAACAGACAAATTTCTAACATTTCTCTTTTTGTCTTGTTCTCACCCTTGCTCTCACTCTCTTTGTTTGGTATAGTATGTAAAGCTGAATGGAACAAAATAAGCCAATTTTTGGAAAATTATGTCTTATTTCAAAAATTCAGACATCATTTAGATGGTACAATCGGTTAGGGGAAAAATGAGATTTCACTTCCTGTAATTTCTCAATTAAAAAAAGCCTATTTCTAGGTTGAGTGAAAATGCCAGCAAGATCATTTCTTCTATTTGGAAATCTCCCAAAACTGGTGTTCCACAGGCCGGAGTGCAGCTGAATGATATCTCATATTTATAAAATCTTCTGTCTGTTTTACAAGGAAAATTCTCAGTATGAAATTGATGTTGCATTTCTGGAATAACAGCTTGAAAAGTCTTCTCAGGGCTGAACAGACTATGAAGGTAATGGTTTTTATGTATCTCATTTTATGAAAAAGACCAACAGAAATTCTGCCTGTCTTCAGATCTTATAATGCTGAAATTAATGACCTTAAAATATTTCTCGAACATATATTTTTGTTCTGCTCTTATCTACTATTATCTTGTTGAAT